TGTAATTTTTTGCTGTCCAATTGTGAGAGTTTATTTTAATACTTGAGCTATATTTGGAAAACAAGAATATCAAACCAAATTAATATTAAGGGTAAAATACTTTTTCCCATCCGAACTTTCACGGTTTTGGCGCATCACCATACAAACTATTTATTTTTACAAACCACCATATGAACTATACAAGTTTGTCAATGTGCCCCCTAAACCAGATATAAAAGTGGTTTCGACTGAAAAAGCTGTTTGATCACCATATGTGCCCTCTAAATACTTTTACAAACCACCATATGAACTATCACAGGTTTGTCAATGTGCCCCCTAAACCACTTTTATATCCGGTTTAGGGGACATATTGACAAACCCGTATGGTTCATATGGTGGTTTGTAAAAAAAACTAGTTTATATGGCGATGCGCCAAAACCGTGATAGTTCGGATGAGACAAAGTATTTTACCCTAATATTAATTACTAACTCAATTTTAATTAACCACACTATTATAATATTATTAATATAATTAAATAGCAATCAATCATTAAATAATAACAATCAATTATTTTTACACATCATATCAACTTTAATCCATGGTTCATCCACTCACATAATTTAATTAAGCATCACTTCATATCATCCCTCTCATACTCTTACATCAAACAAATTTTAATTATTTTATTTTTAATATTATTTTAATATAAACTTAAAATTTCACTAACAATTAATTATACAGTTTTATTCTAAATTAACTTTAGTTAACTAAAAAAAACTCACTTTTAGTTAATTCACTCAAATTATTTTTTTACAAACACACTCTTAGTGTACTTAACAGAGGCATTGAATGGTTTTCTAAAAATAAATATGTGGAGTCATCGGACAGTTTCTTATGGTGTCATCGAATGGGTTTTTAAAATCGTATGGAGTCATCAGTCATTTAATATATTGACACCTGTAATTTGAAGGTATAAATATAATAATCGTCTAACAATTAGGCTTGTATAACTTTAATGTTAGTCTTTATCTTATATTCAGTTGCGATATTAAATCGTTATTCATTAAAATTATTAATATCCTTTCAAAT